TTTTTTTTGAGAACCCCCTATTTATAGTTTCAGTGTACTCCTACTAGATTTTTAACGAGTAGCTTTCCATACTTAACCAGGTATACTAGAAAAAGGCAATTAACAAGTAAGTTTCCATATTTGTTTTTTCTTCTTTTTTGCCCTTGCCAATTCAAGTCCCTAATGAATTAGAAGAGTAAATTTAATAAGCCAATAGGAAAATTAAAACTGGAAATTCCAATGCTAGTTATTCAAGGAAACCAAAAGAAACAGGAAAACAATTCCCAATTTCCAGTCACCTAAGGAAACCAAATTCTCATCCTATAAATTCTCTTGCAAAGCCTCAAGGTTGCTCACTTTTCATTCAACAATTAAACCAATCTCCATTACTCCGTAGATTCGTAATGGCCCCACGTAAAGCCAAACCAGCCACACTTAATTTCGAGAAACACCAATTCAGAATGGCGATGCTCTCACAGACAATAAAAGCATTAGCATTCAAGAAACAACAGACAAGAAAATTATTCCAAAAGGGTGATGAAGTTGAAGTGGCAAGTCAAGAATATGGCTTCATAGGTTCTTACTACACCGCAACTATTGTTTCTTTCGATTGCACTAATTCTCAGTACAGAGTCAAGTACAATACTCTGTTGACTGATGATAGGTCTGCGCCACTAGAGGAGACTGTCACTGCCGCCGAGGTCCGCCCTATGCCACCTTATCAAAATGAAACTACGCCAGAAAGCGACTTTCGCATGTACGATATGGTTGATGTATTTGACAACGATGGCTGGTGGATTGGATTTGTATATTGGAAAATTGGAACAAAGTGCTATGTCTACTTTCCTACAACTGGGGATAAAATTGCATATCCTTCTCATGTTTTGAGATTTCATCAAGAATGGTCTAATGGCAAGTGGAATTCTTCCAATAAAAGGGAGGATGTTGACTTATATTGATTTTGGTTTCAAGAAATTAACGTTTCTATTTTGAACAAATTTTTGATTTACTGTAGTATAATATGAATGTGGCTTAATCACTCTCCTTGTGCGATATTGAAAAAATTCCAGTTTAGTCGCATAGTTGTTATGTATGTGAGTTGGTAAAGATTTTGATATGCTGTGAGCCTGTGTCAAGCATATATTGAGGAAATAGTTAATGAAATATTTATGGTGAAAAACGAGAACATATAATTTGTTATTGTTTTAGCCTGATGAATTGTCGTGTTAAGCGTTTCCAAATTGTCCTTAATTCTGAATTTTAGGGTAACTACTGTTATGCTAAATAAGATGCAGTAATTTTTTTTCAAAACAAGGATCTAACATTCTTACCTGCACCTAATTAATTTATCATAATTAAGTGATTTAATAAGGTCAAATATGCATTAGTTAACCATGGATCGCAAAAGTCTATAGGTAAACATATGGCATGCATCTCGTGGTTTGGTGTAAATATCACATAAATAGTAATATCCACTCACTTTGCAAAACTAATCCCCCTCCCTTCATCCATGCAAAAAATACAAAACTAACAGAACTACCACCTCCTCAGAGATTATTATTATTATTATTATTATTATTATTATTATTATTATTATTATTATTATTATTATTATCTTACTCTTTAGAATTTAATCCTAACGATCCTCTAAATACGTTAAACCATAAAGGTTTGCATGAACTTTTCATCCTATTTTCCCTTGTTGCGCCGAGTCTCTCGCTCTCCCATTCCCACTCCCACTTTCACTTCCGCTTACTTCTATATATATTCATGATCCATGAAGATGTCAGGCAAATAAAATATATTGCGTAATTGAAATAGAAAACTTTAAAAAAAAAAATCAAAAAGAAAAAAAAACTAAAAGGATAGGGGCTGAGTAAAATAATCTGTGGTTCTTTATTAGATTTCCTCTGTTTGTCAATCTCATCACAGAGCCATGGCAAAGTTTTCCAAGAATTCCATGGTTCTGTGCTTTTGGTTAGTCATTGTTTTTGTAATCTCTTGTGCAAATGGTGTTAGGCTTAAGAAATTTGATCACCCCACTAAAGGTGATGGCACTCTTAACTTCTTGGTTCTTGGTGACTGGGGAAGAAGGGGTACCTTTAATCAATCTCACGTAGCTCACAAGGTACCATTTTTCTTATCTTTGTCTTTCATCAATTTAATTTGGATTTTCTCACGTTTAATTATGCGGCCAACTTATCTAAAAGTTTAATCTATTATAAAGAGCTCACTTTTATTTACTAGATTATATCTTCAATGTTTCCTCATGTGTCGGCTTGATCTTTTTATGGGCTTAAGTACATGGAAATTTAGAGGGTGGTGGTCAGCGGTAGAGCTAGAAGGTTAAGTATGAGTTATGCCAAATTCAATAGCTTTAGTCAAAATCCTATATTTGTATTGAGAGATCTATTAAATATATACGAAAATTAAATTTGGAACATAGTTGCTGACATTTGATATCACTACCCTAGAAGTTAGAATCCTTAAAGTTCAAAGCCTGACTCCACCTTTGGTGGGTGAAATTTGAATGCATGACTTTTATCTGCTATGGTACTATTTTCCATTAAATTGTTAGATAAGTTGGTCACACAATTTAACATTTCATTTGATTGATAATTTTTTTATATATAATGAGCTTGTTTCACTATAAAGGGATCTAGGCAAAACTGAATAAACTTCTTTTGGATGCAGATGGGAAGAATAGGAGAGGAGCTAAACATTGATTTTGTAGTATCAACTGGTGATAATTTCTATGATAACGGATTGACAGGGGTGCACGATCCAAATTTTGTAGAGTCATTTACTAATATATATACAGCAAAGAGCTTACAGAAACAATGGTATAGTGGTAAGTTCCCAAATATTATAGAGATAATACATAAATTACCCATCAAACTTGTCCGGAAAAATCATTTACACACCTTAACTTTACGGGCGACCTATGTCCCCCTATTCTTGTTTGGGGTGAATTTAAGACCACCCTAAATGGTGACGTGGCAAAGAGAGTAGCTTCACTCTCCCAATCTCGGATGTAAGAGGGAAAATTTTTTACTGTGTGGGTCCCTTTTTCGTTTACTTCTTTTTTTCTTATTTTTTTCTCTTTTTGTTTTCTCTCTCCACCTTTTCTTCTTCCTCTCACAATTGCAAAAATCATTTTTTTTAACAAAATATTTTTTTGTAAAAACTGATTTTTTTTTTGTAAAAACAGAATTTTTTTTCAGTTTTTAATAAATATTTTCGTTTTTTAAAACTGAAAAAATATTTTCAAACAAATTATTTTCGCTTTTGAAAAAAGTTTTTTTTCTTCATCTTTTCAGTTTTTAAAGATTTTTTTTTTTGCAAAAAATGGAAAAACAAAACTTGTAAAAACTAATTTTTTTTTTGTAAAAACAGAAAAAATCGTTTTTTTAACAAAATATCTTTGTTTTTTAAAAACTGAAAAAATTATTTTCAACAAAATTATTTTCGTTTTTTGAAAAATATTAATTTTTTTTCTAGTTTTTTAAAAAATTTTATTTTTTTGTAAAAACTGGAAAAACAAATTTGTAAAAACTATTTTTTTATTGAAAAAACTGAAAAAAAATCGTTTTTAACAAAATATCTTTGTTTTTTAAAAACTGAAAAAATTATTTTCAACAAAATATTTTCGTTTTTGAAAAATATTATTTTTATTTTTTCAGTTTTTTAAAAGAATTTTATTTTGTAAAAACTGGAAAAACAAATTTGTAAAAACTATTTTTTTTTTGTAAAAACAGAAAAAAATCGTTTTTGAGCAGATATTGACACGTGACGCGTGTGTACTACACACCCCACCACAAGACTGACTAAGTGTCACCAATTGGGTATTAAATTCACCCCAAACAAGAATAGGGGGGACATAGGTCGCCCGTAAAGTTAAGGTGTGTAAATGATTTTTCCGGACAAGTTTGGTGGGTAATTTATGTATTATCTCAATATTATACTACAAATTAAATAAACACACTGCGATTTTATGACATTTTAATATGTCTGAAATTTGTCTTAAAATTGTAATTTTCTGCAGTATTAGGCAATCATGATTACAGAGGAAATGTAGAAGCGCAACTCAGTCCTTACCTTAGGAAAATTGATAGAAGATGGCTTTGTTTAAGGTCTTTCATAGTTAATGCAGGTGCATATAATCTCTTCTTTTCTCAGTCTTAAAGTTTCTATTTTTAACAAAAATAAAAATGTTTTCTCCTTTTTGTTCTTTGAAGAAATTGCTGAAATATTCATGGTGGATACAACTCCATTCGTGCAAGATTATTTCACGAATCCTAAGGATCATACCTATGATTGGCGAGGTGTGATCCCTCCAAACAAATACACTGCAAACATATTAAAAGTAAGTTGAATTTAGGCTTTTCTTATCTTTTCTACTACGTAGTATTTTTCATTTTAAGACTTCTCAAAATAATATTATAAATATTAAATTATTTGTTTATAATTAGGATCTTGAAAAAGCGTTGAGTGAATCGACAGCAAGATGGAAAATAGTAGTAGGTCATCATGCCATTAGAAGTGTTGGGCATCATGGTGACACTCAAGTACTTGTGGATCGCCTTCTTCCTATGCTTAGGGTACGTAACTTTTCTTAATTATATCAATTACAAATTTAATTTCTTGCCGAGTTTTTAACTTTGATTTCTCTCGTTAAATTGTCAGGTATACAATGTTGATTTTTACATGAATGGACACGATCACTGCCTTGAACATATTAGCGACACCGAAAGGTAAGAGTAAAGTTCAAATCTTGCAAGTAAAGTTCAATACTTTGATATTCAACACGTTTCTTTTCTCTGATTATTTTGGTTGAAATTGCAGTCCTATTCAATTTTTAACAAGTGGGGCAGGGTCAAAGGCATGGAGAGGAGATGTAAAAGGATTTAATAGAGAAGACGTGAACTTTTTCCACGATGGACAAGGCTTTATGTCTGTACAGTTAACACCAACAGAGGCTGAGATCAAGTACTATGATGTTTTTGGTAGAGTGCTACATAGATGGAATAGGTCCAAGTTGCTTCACTCAGCTATTTAGTTTTTCTTTTAGTTTTAAAACAACAAAGCTATTATTGGCTGTAAATACTGAAGTTATTAGATGTAGAAGAGAACAGATTTCACAAAACCAATTTAGTTTTGTGACAGTAGTTTTCTCCGACGTTTAGGACTCCTTTGGTTTGATGTATTAGAGGAAATAATCATGATATAAAATTTGATATTGCTTTATCCTGCATTTAATTTGATATTACGATATTGTTTTGTACCTACTATAGTATAAGTATGAAATAAAATAGATTAAACACCAAAACAACACACCCTTATATATTTCCCTCAAATATACCGAAATTTTATTAAATTTAAAAATTAAACCCATGATTTGAATTATAGCTGATATATCCTACTTTTAGTATAAAAAACAACGTCCAATAAAAATAACTAATGCATTACAAGTTCTTGAACTACAATCCGTACGTAATGTATTCATTTTGCTATAACAAGACGTGCCAATTTTTCTTCCACGGTGTCAATATCAAGTGCATAAAATTATCACTATTTTAAGACAAACATAGGTAATAAGCAAAGCAACCAAAGTAAAAACAATAGTTTAGGAGGATAATATTGAACTTAACAGATCCACTGCATAGATGAAAAACCAAACAAGCTAAGTCAATCAAAAAAGAGTACAGCAAAATGACAGTCTCAAGAACAACCTAGGAATGTAATTCAGTTCAATTCTCAATCTGCTGGAACAGCAAAAGATATTTAATATTTTAAAATATCGGCCATGAAAACATCCGTCAAGACATTCTTTGACTGCAGAGAAGTCTTCAACAGCAATAGAGCCTGTCAAAAAACAAGGAAATAATCCATTTTCAGTAGTCTATCGGGAACAAGAAAGACGTTATTCAAGAATATGCCCGACTTTAACTCTTTTCCTTCATATTGAAGAAAAAGCTAGGATCCCAAATAATCAATATTTCATTTCAGTTTGCAACTCTCATTGATGAATCAATTTGTGGTATTCCAAATTCAACATCAGATCACTAATGGAATCCAATTAAGTTAAGATTGTTCAGAAGATAAATTCAGTGTGCATGTTTGTGTTTATAATATTTATATGGAATGAAAAAGATAAGGATCGGATTTACAGAGTGAGACATCATATTTAAGTATAAAGGCATAGAGTACGAATAAATATATATACCTCATCCATTCCAAGAGTGACAACTTTCTCTTTAAGAACCCCAACATCCTTAACGCTGAATTCATTCAGCAAGAGTGATGCTTGAAATAGTAGACATTGGCTTCACAACCAAGTTATCCAATACCATATAAGTCACAACCCCCTTTACCAAGCCTCCACCGAATGCTACCACATCTTCTGCAGTGGGTGTTACATATTCCAGTTTTGTGCTCATAGTTCGCCTACAAGAAAGACAATTCATTCGAGGATCATCAGTCATGTAACATGGCGATTAGAGCACGTATAAAACTGTTTATTAACAGGGGAGTCAGTGAGCAACAACAGAGGGCCTGAAGTAGCATAGGCTGCTGACTTAGGCTTCAAGAGTGTGTCCTTTTCCTGATTTGGTTGAATGTACATATTATCCAGATTGTCAAGGCTTTCATACAAGTTACCCAAGCAGCCAACCATCCCTTTGGTTATCAGTAGCCTAATGACACTACTTATTGGCAATGCCAGAATGTGAAATAGGAAATCAATACACTCTTTCCCGGCCTCTGCGAACATTACTCTTTTGGTTTTAGAGTCGATCAATAGCTTCATTGTCACTTTGGACTCTGCCATATTTGTGAATCAATTTGAGGATAATTAAGAGGTGAAACTCAAAATAAGGAACGATAAGTTTGCCATCTATATACACTATGTAGAGCAGTTGCTGCATTTATAGTGGCACCGGGAATTAGAGAAAGAGTGCAATATATTTATGGCGGATTTACTTCCAAGATGGTAAATGGAAAGGCATGCTAGCTAGCGATTGACTGGTTGGTTTTCTCAGTCTTTGTTCTTTAACCGAGAAGTGCGTGGCTATACAATTTATTGCACCCTTCACTATTCTAATCATACGGCAGCCATCTTGAGTTGAAATGGCCTATTTGTCATAATTAATCTCCTATTTATTAGTAGCTACTTAGATAGGACTTTAACATAGTGGGAGTTGAGATGATTTTATGTTACAAACCTTAACTTGAAAGAGCATTAGTAAAATTTACCCGGAAAACAATATTTGGCAAAGAACTTATACAATATATCAATAATTGGCAACAGAATATGTAACGAAAAATAATATCAACAATCCCGTTATAACATGTGATAACAATTCAACGTAGGAAACTCCATTTTTGACAACAAATCCTCGAGTGATAGCATATCAAATACAACTGAAAACTCATTAAAGAACATGACGAAGTTCAAAGAAAGATTATTTTTGATAAAAAAATAATTGAGCATCATCAAGAGAATAACATGGCAAAGACCTCGTGCAAACATGTGCATATCGTCACCCTTATTTAGCCACATGAGAAACCCGAGATAATACCACCTTTATTTGGCCCCATGCGCATAATAATAATTACAATCGTACGTCAAAGACCTCGTGCAAACACCCAATCAATCCGTCGGATATGTCCACATATGCCATAATTATCATAAGTAATATGCCAAATTTTCATCAAAGTAAGCCTGTAATTTCTCAACAAGACGCACAAGGACATGACAATAATAAATTGCATATCGGGGTTCAACATATAAAGCATGACTACGACTAAATCAATTTAGCAATCAAGTTCATGTAGTCACAAAGTGATTAAACATGTTTCATATAAATCATATCATCAAATTAAGGCATATTAATAGTCTAAGGTCTGATCCGGTCATAACCACAAATAGCACCCCTATACACGCTCGTCACCTCGCGTGCACGTCACTATCACATAACAAAAATAGGCAAATAAGGCCAAATCCTAGGGGATGTTTGTCACGACACAAAATTCAACTAGTCGTGATGGCACCTAACCCAACCGGCTAGGTAAGCCAATTAACAACTAACCAAATTCCAATGAAATTAATAAGACAATTAAATAAAAGAAAATATTTGAATCTGATACGTTCCCCAAGGACTGGTAGTACAAATCATGAGCTTCTAAGATTAGAATTTACAAAGCTGGCACGAAATAAATACATCATATGTTCGAAATATACATAAACAGATTTTTTTCGAATCTAAGGCTACCATGAACAAGAGGCACTACAACCGGAATGTAGGTACGTCTTCAATTCCAGCTCCCATCGAACACAACAACATCGACATCCAACAGCTGCACGCAAGTTGCAGAAGTGTAGTATGAGTACAACCGACCCCATATTCTCAGTAAGTAACAAACCTAACCTTAGATTGAATGTAGTGACGAGCTGGAGCAAAGGTCGGATCCGACACCAATAGCCAACAACAGTTCATAACAACACAATGCAAGTAATAAAAGAAGTATCTCAGAATTAGAATGCTCAGCTCATTCACAGTTCCAGAAAAATAGGCATGCTTTTCAAGTATCTCGGTGAAAATCCAAATCTTTTACCGAAATTGCAAAAACAATATGAGTAAGCTTGAAACTGTGATTTTTCCAAAAATCCTTTCAACAATAAATAAGATGTTTCATTTTCAGATAGCGTGAGGAAAGTATATCTCTATGCCTGTATGTCAAGATACAGGTAAAATCATGAATGTTACCAAAATCATGGATCGCAAAAGTCTAATCAAGTAATTTAATAAGGTCTAACATTCTTACAACCGCATATCCAATAAAAATAACTAATGCATTACAAATTCTTGAATTACAGTCCGCACGTAATGTATTTTACAACCGCTTAACCAAACAACTCACGTGTGATTTCATTCTGCTGTAACAACTACCAATATTGCTTTCACAGTGTCAATATCTAGTGCATAAAATCATCACTATTTAATGTTAAAACTGTCGCAGTTCAATGAAACGAACTTCTCTGTATATCTCTGAACTAAGATAGCTGAGCCTATAATAATAATGATAATAATTATTACTATTATTATTATTATTAATGATTAATTAATATATTAAGAACATGAAACCTCCGACTTAAAAGTTAAATTACTAAAATATCCTAGTTATCATTGTTATTTACTTAAATACCCTATTGGCTTGACTTATTAAAACCTAATTACCTAATTAACAAAAACCAAACGCCTACAAACCAACACAACGCTTCATACACAATGCTAAAGGTCACAAACCTTCAGACTACAAATAGACGCAAACCTTTACACTCTGTTTGAAGAGCCCCTACTTCTAACGTTGCTTTGGCCTCTTATGTTGTGAAATTAGGAGCAATGTATGAACCGTAATTGCTAGAAAAGAATTGGGGAAGAGAGTTTAGAGAGAGAAATATCAGATGAAGAAAGAATACTTCATTTTCTGTTAAGAGGTCGTTTGTACATTGTATGTGCAAATATATAAAAACACTAATGACTATTTTTCACTAACTATCTAACTAACTCACTTAACTAACTTCAATAATCTAGAACATTCTAGAACATTCCTACACATTCATAGACCTACTATGTTACTGCATTCTCATTACTCCCTTTCAAGCTAGGTGGTGCAAAAATGTTTAGCACTCCTAGCTTGCCTACAAGATGTTCATGCTGTGGCCTTGCTAACCTTTTTGTTAAGATGTCTGCTTCCTGATCTCTGGTGCCCACATGCTTTGTCTTGATCAATCCTTCCTGAATCTTCTGTCTGATGAAATGGGAGTCTATTTCTATATATTTTGTTCTTTCATGGAATACATGGCTGGCTGCAATCTGCAGTGCTGCTTTACTATCACTGTATATATCGATTGGTAGTTCCACATTAGTCCCAAGCTCCTTCAGAAGCTGCTAACCAAACTACCTCTAAGGTTGCACTAGCCATACTTCTGTATTCAGCTTCAGCTGAACTTTTGGAAACTGTATTCTGCTTCATCGATTTCCAAGAAAGTAATGACTCTCCATACTTCACTATAAAATCTGATACTGATTTCCTTGTGTTGGGGCAAGATGCCCAATCTGCATCACAGTACACACTCAATGTGTTGCTGCTGTTGCTGCTCAATAGAATACTCATGCCTGGTTCTCTTTTAACATACCTTACTACTCTCAAGGCTGCTTCCCAATGAGACCTCTTGGGACTCGGCAGAAATTGGCTAAGTGTTTGCACTGAAAAGGCTATATCAGGTCTGGTGAGTTTCAAGTATAGTAGCTTACCAATAAGCCTTTGGTATTGCCCTATGTCATCCATCAACATATCATCTTCCACCCCTGTCAATTTGTCATGTTCTAGTATTGTCAGCTTTACATTTGCCTCCAAGGAAGTCCAAGTTGGTTTAGCTCCTGTTAGCCCCAAGTAAGATATTATTTCCAAGGCATATTTCCTTTGATTGATTAATATACCTCTCCTTGACCTACTGAATTCCATTCCAAGGAAATATTTCAGTTCTCCTAAATCTTTAATTTTGAAAGTCTGATGCAACGAATTTTTGGTGGCTTCAATTAGCTGTAGATTACTTCCTGTCACTAGCATGTCATCCACATAGACTAGGATCACTACAACATCCGAATCCTACTTTTTAATAAATAATGAGTGATCTAAACTGCTCTGATGAAAACCAGAAGATAGGACGGCTTCTGTTAGTTTCAAATTCCATTGCCTGCTAGCTTGTTTAAGTCCATAGAGGGATTTTACAAGTCTCCATACCATACCAGACTCCCCCTGACTTGTAAAACCTTGTGGCAACTTCATATAGACTTCATCGTGAAGATCCCCTTGTAAGAATGCATTGTATACATCTAATTGGTGAACAAACCAATTATGCACGGCAACAAGTGAAAGAACAGTCCTGACAGTGGCAATTTTAACCACTAGTGAGAAGGTCTCATTATAATCTAAGCCTCCTGTCTGATTATATCCTTTAGCTACTAATCTAGCTTTAAATCTCTCCACTTCACCATTGGCCTTGAGCTTCACCTTGTATACCTATTTGCACCCTATAGCCCTCTTACCTGCTGGTAACTTTACCAATTCCGAAATATTATTTTCATGTAATGCTTGAATTTCTGCTTGCATTGCTTCTACCCACCTTTGATCTTGAGAAGCCTGCTAAATGTTCTTAGGCTCTATGATTGCTGAAAAAACTCCAAGATACAGCTGATGAGATGATGAAAATTTGTCATATGTGATAGACTCTTCAATAGGATATAGAACTAAGCTAGTAGAGGATTTGTTCCTGTTGGTAACATAGTCAATCATCCATACAGGTTCCTTGGATCCTATTTGAGATCTTCTTAAAGGAACATTGGTGTCAGCACAACTTGGCAGTGGAGGTGTCTCTTCTGTGGGTGCTTCTGAATCAGGTGACTCAATCTCAGGTGCATCTTCAGGCATGTGAGCAGTCTGAAAATCATGACCAGCTGTAGTATCAACTGTGGTATTGGTGTTTGAGTTCAATGCAGGTGGACATGATGTAGCAGTGGTTGTGGGCACATTGACATCATGGTCTGGTGTTGTTGTAGGCATTTGCATGCTGTGATCAACATTGGTGAGAAAAAGGATCCATTGTCTGACTTGCCTCTACTGACTGCAATTGAAATGAGAATACATCCTGCCTAAAAGTAACATCCATGTTTATAAAAAACACATTTTTTGACATATCATACAGAATGTATCCTTTAGTTGCATTGGAATATCCCATAAACACTGACTTTATTACCCGGTTGCAAGTTTATCTGCTTTTGGCATTGTAGCAGCATAACATAGACATCCTATAGTTCTCAAGTGAGTGATATAAGGTCTCTTGTTAAAGAAAACCTCATAGGGTGATTTCCCTTGAAGGACTATGTTAGCCCAAGTAAAGGTTAGTTTTGAAAACTGACAAAGGAACTCAGACATGAACCAGGTCCATCCAGTGGTCCATCCCTCAGGTTCACAAAAACGGGCAGATTCAAGCATGTGGGATGCACGTGAAGGAGATAACCTTAACTTGGTGTATTTAATATCTCCTGATCGAAAAGGTTGCATAATTGATAAGGAGAAGGAGTCCTTAATCAAAGAGAACACAAATCAAGATAGGGAAGGAGTTAGAAGTTGAAATCAACTAGAACTCTTCCACCAAGGAAGAGTTGCATCAGAACTCTAGTTATTTCTTCATCTACTAACTCTATAAATTGCAGGAGGTTCTCACATTAAAGTGTTGCACAAAATGCAGAAGTTAAACGTGAATTTGGGAGCAAAATAGCAAGGCTTTTTGCAAGCAGTTCGTGTGTGATTCAAGTGTGCAAACCAGAAGCTACATGAACCAGATTGAAGAACCAGCTCCATAAAGAGTTTTATGTGTCTTTCTTTATTTCTAGTTCAATTGTAGTAGGTATTTCATATTGTACCTTTCAGCTTTATCTAGAAGCAATTGTAATAGGTATTTTGAGTATTCAAGTTAGAGTTAACTTGAAGTTGTCGCAGCAGTTAGAGGCTGGTTGCTACAACGGGATTAGAGTTAATCCTTAGGTTTACAAAGAGATTTGTAAATGCAGTTTTGGCTCAATGATTTTAGTGGAAGTTTGGGAAAATCCTACTGAGTAGTAGGTCGTGGTTTTTTTCACCTTTTAAGCCAGATGTTTTCCACGTAAAAATCTTTGTGTTCTTTATTTTATGTACTTTTAATTCCGCAAACAGCAGTCGTTAGTACACCTAGAAGAACCAGGTCCTTCCAGAAGCAGTTTAAGCAAAAATTGGGTACCACAGAAATCACCCCCCTCTTGTGTGGCATTGACGTTTAGAACATCAAAAATTTCAACAAATCATGATAATCGCATTTTAAGGACTCACGGTCATGCTAGACACCAATGTATAGATACTCGTCACCATGCCTATACACCGTACTCGACAATTAGCAAGTAGCAAACAAGACTCAACTCCTATTCCCTCAAGCTAAGGTTAGGCCAAACACTTACCTCAACTTCCACGGCCAAATCAATCCTCGACAACCGCTTTCCCTATTGAATTCGGCTCCAACTCAATCAAATCTATACAATAAGGACTTTATAATATCAATATATGCTAAACAAATCAAACCCAATGCCTAATTATAGATTTCCAAGCTTTCTTCCCAAAAATTCCAAAATCGCCCCCGGGCCCGCTTGGTCAAAACATGAGGTTCGGACCAAAATCAAATCCCCCATTTACCCACGAGCCCGACTATATAATTTGTTTTCAAATTCGACCCCAAAACAAGGTCTAAATCAAGAAAATATAGAAAACCTTAACTCTACCCATTTCCCCCAATTTCTACCCTAAATCACATGATTTGAGCTTAGGAATTTGATAAATAGTGATGGAAAATGAAGAAAACAAGTTAAACAATACTTACTCAAGAAGCTTTGGTGAAGAGATGCTCTAAAAATCGCCTAGAAGCTTTGGAGAAGAAAGGGTTCGTGTATTTGGTGAAAATTTCCCGTCACTGTTCTGTTTTGGGCATTTTAAATAACTGGGCGAATTTGCCCTTCGCGTTCGCGGAATCAAGGTCGCGTTCGCGAAGGGTTGGCTTAACAGACTATCGCATTTGCGATGAGAAGGACGCAAACGCGAAGAGAAGGACTGGGGGGGGGGGGGGGTCCAGGGGATTGGTCTACGCGAACGCGTTGACCTATACGCGAACGCGATGAGGTAAGGCTGGGACCCTACGCGAACGCGGTCCGGCCATCGCGAACGCGGAGAAAGAAAGAGGGCTGGGCCCTCAGAGTTCAAAGACTCTATGCGAATGCGAAGGGAGAATTTGAACGCGAAGAAGGACTCGCTCGAGGCTTCGCGAACGCGAACAAGGCGTCGCGAAAGCGAAGAAGGAAAGACCTGAGCACCTGATGCAGATTTTCTGCAACTTTTCTAAGTTCAAAATCATCCCGGAACACCTCCGAAACACTCCCGAGCGCTCGGGGCTTCCTAACCAAACACATACATTAACTCAACAACATCCTACGAACTCAACTGTGCGATCAAATCGCCAAAATAACATCAGAAACGAGGAATCAAACCTCAAAATCACAAATTTTTCTTCAAACTTCATAATTTTTCAATTTTTGAGATTTAAGTCCGAAACACGTCACATGACGTCCGATTTCAACCAAATTTCACAGAAACATCTTATAACACATATAAAACCTGTACCGGGCGCCGGAACCAAAATACGGGCCCGATACCAACACGTTCTAGTCAATTTTCATTTCAAATTTCCTTAACAATTTCAGAAAAACAATTTCTTTTAAAAATCAATTTCTCGGGCTCGGTACCTCGGATTTCGATTCCGGGCATACGCCCGAGTCCCATATTTTCCTACGGACCCACCGGGACCGCCAAATCACGGGTCCGGGTCCGTTTACCCAAAATGTTGACCGAAGTCAAATTTATTCATTTTAGCACCAAAATTTAACATTTTTCACATACACATATAAGCTTTCCGGCTGCGCGCCCGGACTGCGCACGTAAATCGAGGCAACTAAAAATGAGGTTTTCAAGGCCTCGGAAGCACGAAAGGAGAGAGAAAACTGGTAATGACCCTTTGGGTCGTCACAATAAGATACAACCACATTTCATATTTTAATAATATAGGTACATATATTGTCTGACTTAACTAAACTGATTATTTTCACATATTTAATTCAAGTTTATGTTATGTAATAACATCGTTCTCAGCATTTAATTAATTGAATGCTATAGTTTTACAATCAATTGCTATATAACAATTTTCATCTAAATAATTGAGAAAACATCTACGTGCAAAGCACGTATGTAGAGACTAGTTATTATAAATGCACGAATACCATGTCAAATGACTAAAATAACCCTAAAATATTAACTTAATATAGGTTATTTTGATAAAAGAAAACACTATTAATAGAGTTATAATTATATTGTCTCTGGAGTTTTGTGCCTAAACAAATACAATCCTCTTGAGAATAGAAAAGCACATCTATTCGTAAGAGAATTTCAGCAATTGGCCGAAAAGAAGAAAAACCTACTATAAATAACACTAATGCTCCCGGTGCTCATCAGTTTTGTAACACTGATACGAATTTGCATGGATTAATCTAATCCCAATCAAGTTCTAATTTTATGACAAAAATAACCTTATAATATTAAGGATAATAACTCATAATAAAAGAATATAATCGGAATTCTAGATTTTAGCCTTATAATCCTATTAGTTTTAGGACATAATACTACACATTAGGAATCCTACATGATTACTTTCGGGATATATACTTCTTAAAAATTACTTTCGGGCCATCTAATTCATATAAGATTGAACAAGTAAATATCTTTAGTCATGCAATCCTATTACTTTCAGGATATATACTTCTTAAAAAATCCTATTACTAATTTAATTTGAAAACGTATTATAATGTCCTATTACTAATTTAATTTGAGAATGTATTATATGTCCAAGTTCATTTAGAAAAAGGAGAGCTTGTATTATTATAAAAACATAAATACAATATTAATATACCAAAATATCCCTAAATTATTAAAAGAAAGAACTCATAGGAAGATGACATAAATGCAATAACCTATTTTTTGGACTAAAATACCTTCTATGCTAATTTTTAATATTTAAGATTTTAAAATTAATAAAATGTTGTCTGTTAGATTTTTGTTAAAAATATGTAGGAAGGTTTAATAAAATCAATTTCATAATAATTCTTCGTATTGGCAATACATTACCGCTCCATGATGTTCAATACCAAGAAAAATAAAAGTAATATTAAATGGATTGCATAAACAGTTAAAATTGAAAAGAAAAAAAATACCCCCACGATAATATATTTTTATATTATATTTGAATTATTTTCCTACTCAAATAATATTTTTTTAATCAATTATTCGTGTAATAATAAAAATAACCCAATTATTAAATAACAACTAAGAAAATATTTAAGAATATAAATGTGTGAGAAAAAAAATAGTTGTTAAGAGTCAATACCACTAATGATTCTACAAACATAAAGATCTAAAAGTGAAATGTCATATCAATCTTTTACTCTTTGAAAATAAAATTTATGGTGGATAAAATTATAATTAAGATAAAATATTTAAAACAAGAGATGAACTAATATTAAGATCTGAATCAACATAAATAAATTATTTTTTATGTTAAAACTAAAAAATTAAATCTTTTAATTAATTATTTAGCAAGAGAATCCAATTCAATTATTTTTGAAATTCATCATATGAGTAAAATTCTTATTCATGTTTAAAAAAGAATCTTAGGAGTGCATAAATTTATTCTATAAAAAGAGCGTTAGAACACAAAGTAAAAAGATTAGTATATTATTAAGAACCAAAATGCTATACAAGTGTACGAGGAAGCACAATCAAAGCTAAATCCTAAACAAGAACAAGCTTTCAAGACTATATTATAAAGAGTCGACTCTGCTATAACGGGATTATTCTTTGTAGATGCCTCCGGCAGAACCGAAATAATATTTCTATGTCATGCATTAGTTGCAAATATCATATCAAGAGGCATG